GTCTGGTCACCCTACCTATGATTCATGGACGTGGAAATGCCAAGAAAGTGTCTGGAAGCACAAGCTCAAAGACATGCGGAGTGGAAATGAAAATGAGAGAGTTAAGAGCACAAAGGTGGATTCAAAGAGATGACAAGGGAGAGTAAAGCGAAAGGACACAGGGCCGGGTGAGCCCTGAGGGATCTCACACTCGCAGTGGGGTGGAGGAGGGAGACAAGTCAAAAGGGAGGATACGCAGAAGGGATGGCGGAATTTCTTCCTCGGAAAGTCCTTGGTCTCAGGGGTTCAAAGAATGAACCCACGGACCACAGATCAGTGGTAAGATAGGATTTTTATTAGACAGAAAGGAATACCGAAGAAGTAAAAAGCACCAGAACTTCTGGAAGGGGAAAGAACTAACTGGGTAAGGTGACCAGATGTCCTGCTTTTGGCGGGACAGTCCCAATTTTTAACAATTTGTCCCGCATCCCCTGGTGTTTTTAAAAAGTCCCGATTTTTGGAAAGAGTGCACGACAAGCTAGGGAACAGCGGGAGAGTGGGAAGGGAATATACGGTTTCGGCCGCGGAAAAGGTTAATGTAGCTCCATTTGGGAATGAAGACGTTAGTGTAACTTCATTTGGAAATGAAAAGGCTAATGCAAACTCCTTACACACACCCCCATCCCCGCAAGGTCGCCCAGGTGGAATCGCTATCAGGAGACTGGCTCCCCCCCTCGCTTCTAGGCAAGGACAATTAGCTCAGAAGGAGCCAAACTGTCTGGAACAAACAAGTAGCCCCCCCCCGTAGAGTAAGGTGACCAGACATCCCGCTTTTGGCGGGACAGTCCTGAATTTTTAGCAATTTGTCCCACGTCCTGCGGCATTTTTAAAAAGTCCCGATTTTTGGAAAGAATGCATGACAAGCTAGGGAACGCAGGAGAACAGGAAGGGACTATATGGTTTTCGGCTGTCATGTGGCTATTTCGCCAGGATATGGGTTTTATATTATTTTTGTTAATTTTATAATGTTAAACT